TTCATCACTCACGCTACTCATAAGGAAAACAGTGGCCATACTAGTGCAGCAAAGCTGCTGCTGTGTTGAAATGACATAATTACTTTACAACTAATTCACTTTTACCCCAGAACCGAGGGATCGCGTTTGGCTGTGGCTACACAATTCTGCGCTAAGCGCCCAGGTTTCCTGGAGACAGCCAGGAACACAAACCTGAGAAGCAGGAGCCTCAAGCACTCCAACTCCAGGCCCCCGAAGCCCGGCTCCGGCTCCGCCAGCAGCTGGGGCAGCTTTCGAGGACTTCCGAGAAGATTCCAACAAAACACTGATCTCAGCACAGACGCGTAGCAGAGTGTCGTGCTGTTCGTTAGGCGCTCAGCTTAGTACTTACTGGCTTTTTTAAAAAACAAGAGTCAACACAAAGGAGGTGCAGGACCTAACTGGTTCTCTGGCCAAATGCTTCTGCATTGCCTAAGCAAGCAAGGGGCACTAACGGGGCGTCGTGGCAGCTCCTCCTGCACTCCTCGCCTCCCTCCGGCTCCCCCAGGCAATTAAGATCACCGATAGCTTCTCTATCCAGTTGCTGCTGTTGCTGCTTCAGTTAACGTTACCACAATCTTTAAAACGCACACTACCATCAACATGGTTAAAGTGTTTGGAGCCGGCGTCAGTGCTCATAGCACGGCAAACACAGCGCACAACGCCGCCGTGCATCACCCCTCTGCTTTCCTGGGCTGTAAAACGGGGAAAAGCCTTGCCAGAGTTTACGCAGCAAGGCAGGACTGGAGCTTAGCACAAGTGAGGAGAAGCAGTCAAAAATGACGATGTTAAAGAACGCTGCTAGCAATTGTTCAAAACCCTCTCAAGCAGCCTCATGGGTCCCCTGCAACCGGCCACAGCACAGCTGTTTGCGAAACAGATTTTCAGCCCGTTCGTTTCAAATCTCTCTTCCCCTATCCAATACTGGGTCAAAAAAAGCACTGAAATTTCAAAGTCAAATTATGAAAAATTTTTGCTTCAGGTCAATGGAAAAGTTTGAGAACTGCAAAAGTTCCTGCTATTAAAAAAGAAATAATCGCACACCCTAAGGAGCACCTCCTGCGTAACCGGCTTCCAGGTTCCAGCGGCGGTGCCGCACGCGCGCACCAACCACCGCGGGGTCCCCCCCTCCCGAGGCTGAGTCTTCATAACTCTTAGGGCAGCTCGGCTACCTAACACGTTTGGGGGAGACCCAGAACCTCCTGGGGGTGGCCAAGGGCACCCGGGCGCCGTGGGAGCCCACCTTTCGGGCAGCATCCCACCGGCCGCTCTGTCAAACCTGAGTGTTGACAGCTCGTCTCATGCCAGCCCCCGTTCCACGCAGCTGCCACCAAGCGGAGCAGGTCCCCCCAGGCGGTCGCCCCGAGCGGAAAGCCTGCCAGCGGGGAACCGCCGCGGCAGCGCCGCGCGAAGCACGGCACGCGACAGCTCTTGTGCCTCTGCCGGCTCTTAGCAGCCGGTGAGCTAGCTGCAAACCGCGGTCACGCGACCGGGAAACATCTCATCCGCTCCTTGGGATCCTCGGTGGCATCCCAAACGCGTACTTTTTTACACTGTGACAGTCGCTGGAAGGGCTTCGTTAGCACAGCACAGAAAGGTGATCGTTATCAGCAATTTAAAGAGCTCAATCCCCACATCAGCTCGGCGAAACCTTCTTCCCCTCAAACCCGTCCGCCAGGCATCTGCCCTCGCCCACCGCACCGCAGGGCGCCGCC